TGAGGTGGGGCCGGGAAGGGGTGGGAGGAGGGGTCTGGCCAGGTTACAGGGGCAGGAGAGATCCCGCCCACACCTTCTTTTAGCTTATGGTGTCAGGGACGCTTGGTTTCTCCCTCCCCCAGCGTCGTGCGGGAAGGGGGAGCACGGAGAAAGCTCCAGCGTGGGGCTGAGCCTCCCCTTCCCCTGCAGGGAAAGCTCTGGAGCTCGGGCTGGCCCTGGGGCCCGGGTCTCAGCCCTGCAGGGACAGCCCGTGTGACAGGCGTGGGCCTGTTTGTGGCACCAGTGCTGCCTCCTGCCCTGCTGGGTGGGAGCAGCGATCCCAGATGGGAGAGCAGGGGTGGTGCTGGGCTCCAGGGTGCTGGCAGCTGGTCTCCATGCCATTCCTTTTCCTCTCTCCAGCGCTGCCAGCAGCTGAAGCGTTCAGCATGGCTGGCCCCGGCGCCGCACCGCTGGAACTCTGGCCTGCCCATGAACATCGGGGTGCTCTTCGTGCCCCAGCAGGAGGCTTGGGTGGTGGAGAGGATGGGCAAGTTCCACCGAATCCTCGAGCCTGTAAGGAGATGCTTTTCTCCCCTTCTGGATTCAGCAGATACCTAAAGCTGTAGCGAGGCGTGTCCTCTGCGCGAGGATTTGGCGGATGGTGTGCTTATTCTTCTAGATTTTTGACTGATTTCCTTGGGTGGAGCAGGGAGAAGCCTAAATTTCCACTGTGTGCAAAGCACGTGTGCTTTGCCCGCGCTATCTGCAGCGTGTAGGGCACTTGGTCTTAGTTTCCACAGCTCGCTCTAATCTGACTGAGCTCTCTGGGGAGGAAAACCCCAGATTAGGGGGCTCAGCTGTCTAATCTTACCCTTTTCCCAGGGTTTGAACTTCCTCATCCCTCTGCTGGATCGGATTCGTTACGTGCAGAGCCTCAAAGAAATCGTGATTAATGTCCCAGAGCAATCAGCTGTCACCCTAGGTGAGGAACAGCTTCTGCATCCTGACTGGTTTCTTCTCCTATGTCCAAGGTGACAGCATGGGAGGAGTGGAAGTGACCCTGGGGACCGGGGCTTGCCCATGCTCCTGGCACTGGGAGCAGGAAGACCCCAGGAGGTCCCATCTGCCTGCTCAGGGCTGTGGCTGCCCCTCCTTGCTGGGTTGAATGCACCTAGGCAGGAGTCTGTTCTCAGACGTGTTCTTGTGTTGAACTTCAAAAAACCTCCGTGTTTCTCTAAGAAATATTTTGCACTAGATTGATGGACAGCTCTGTTACAATGCTAGTATTAAGCTTTTTTGGTTTGGTCTTTTTCTTAAATCTTCATTTGTGTAGATAACTACAGTATGGAAGGCTTTTGGTCTGCAGACCTGAGACTTCCCATGGATTTAAAATGTCAAAATGTAGTGTTTTCTACAAGGTCCTTGTTACAAAGCCTTTTAGATAAGGAGATCCTTTTCAGCCAGCCCCTCCTCCATGCCATGCTCCGGGAAGGGCTGACCCTGCCTAGCTCTGCTTGTTCTCTAGGGGGGAAGGGAAGGGGCGTTGCTGTGTTTTTGTTTTGCTGCTGCAGTCAACAGGAGGTGCTGTTTTCTCCCGGCAGATAACGTCACCCTGCAGATCGATGGTGTGCTCTACCTGCGGGTTATAGACCCCTACAAGGTACAGTTCCTGCCGGGGCTGAGCCAGGCCTGCAGCCCCCCCAGGGCCAGACTGACCCCAGACCCCCTCCCCAGCAGGGTCTGACTGTGCTGCTCCTCATGTCCCACTTGCCTGGCTCTTTTGGCTCCCTTCTGCCCACAATGGGGGCATCAGCCCCTGCCCAGCTAGCTGCCCCCAGCAAGTGCCTCAGTCCCCTCCCCAGGGAAATGGGGAAGGAGAGGAAGGCAGATCTCAGCTCTGGACTCTGCTTTCTTTGGCGAGGGTGTCTGTGGCAGGTTTTTCATTTCAATGTTCGCCCATCCTGACTTGTCCGAGGTGTCTCTCAGCACTGCCATCAGCACTGTCCTTTGCTTCTGCTCTTCAGGCCAGCTACGGAGTGGAAGATCCTGAGTATGCAGTGACCCAGCTGGCCCAGACAACCATGAGATCCGAACTTGGCAAACTCTCCCTTGACAGAGTCTTCCGGGTGAGCCGGGGAGGTGGATGATGGAGCTGCCAGTGTCTGTCCAAACCCTGGGGCAGGCTGGGTGGGCAGGCTGGTATACTGAGCAGCAAAACACCCTCCACACACCCTTGTGTTTCAGGGGACCTATCAGAGAATCCTTGAAGATGAGTCTTGTTTCAGGTTGTTGGTTTTTATTGACTGGGAGATATTTCTTAGCCTCCCTGGGTCAGCTGGAAAGGCTGGTGGGTGGTGCCTTCCCAGACTCAGCTTGTCCTGCTGACTTTCTCTTGTGCCAGTGACTCTTTGCCCAAGCCCAGCAGCCAAAGTGTCCTGGCTGACCTGGTTCAGGGGGCTGTAACCCTCATGCAGAAGCAGGAGCTGTTTGTGTTCATGGATGATGTTAGTACCCAGATGTATGGCAGATGTTTGTTTCTCAGCAGTTTCAGGCTGGGTGTTGCCCTCCCTAGGAGGAGATGACCCTTTTGGCACTGCCTCATGCCTGTGGAGATGGGTTTTTTTGCCAACTTTGGCCTGTCAGGGGAGGTGTCTGTTTCCCTCCTCTCATGCTAAATGCCTCTGCTTTGCTCTCTGCCCTTTCATTTGTGCCTGCCAGGAACGGGAGTCCCTCAATGCCAACATTGTGGATGCCATCAACCAGGCCTCGGACTGCTGGGGCATCCGCTGCCTGCGCTACGAGATCAAGGACATCCACGTGCCCCCACGTGTGAAGGAATCAATGCAGATGCAGGTCTGGTTCTCAGGGAGGGCAGTCTGGAAAAAGAGGGAATCCTCCCCTTCCATACAACATGGTTGTTCTCTGTCCAGAGCTGGCAGCACTGGATCTTCCTGGGGAGAAGGAAGCCTGTTGGCACTCCAGCTGCAAACATAGAGATATTGAGTAGATAATTGCTGTCCTCATTTTGGCAGTGGTGGCCCTGCCAGCTCTTGTTAAGGCTCTGTAGGAAGCAAATCTCAGAGCTGGAGACCTTCCTTTGAAAAAAGCTGGTGCCAGATCTCCAGGCTGGAAGAGGAGGGCGGGAGGTGGCTGTCTGATTAGGTGTGGACAAGGCTAAGGAGCAGAAGCAGCCCTCATCAAGGAATGCTCCGTGTTCTCTGCTTGTGTCCTTGTCCTGTGCCAAGCCATGCTTCCCCAGATGGGGCACAGGAGCATGTCCTCACCATGCTCACCCACGGAGGGGGATTTTCAGGCTGGCTTCTGACCCGTGTTGGCAGGTGGAGGCAGAGCGACGGAAGCGGGCGACAGTGCTGGAGTCGGAGGGGACACGGGAATCGGCCATCAACGTGGCTGAGGGGCAGAAGCAGGCCCAGATCCTGGCATCAGAAGCTGAGAAGGCTCAACAAATCAACAAAGCTGCAGGTGGTGCTTGGGCAGGAATGTGTGGGGCCTGTCGGGGGGTGGGGTGGTGTCTGTGGGCTCAAATAGTTGTGGTCTTTGGGGCAGAGTCTGGTTGGAAACCTGTGTCTAGTGATGTCCCCCTGGAGTCAGTACTGCGTCCAGCCCTGTTCGGTATAGGCATCAATGACCTGGATGAAGGGACAGAGTGCACCAATAGCAAGTTTGCTGGTGATACAAAACTAGGAGGAGTGGCTGACACACCAGAAGGCTGGGCTGCCATCCAGTGTGGCATGGACTGGCTGGAGAGCTGGGTAGGGAGAAACTTGATGAAATTCAACAAAGGCAAGTGTAGAGTACTTCGTCTGGGGAGGAACAACCTCATGTATCAGTAGAGGCTGGGGGCTGACCTGCTGGAGAGCAGCTCTGGGGAGTAGCACCTCAGGGTCCTGGTGGACAACAGGCTGACTGTGAGCCAGCAATGTGCCCTGGCAGCCAAGAGGGTCATTGCCATCTGAGGTGCATGAAGAAGAGTGTGGCCAGCAGGTTGAAGGAGGTTCTTCTCCCCCTCTACTTTGCCCTGGTGAGGCCACAGTTGGAATACTGTGTGCAGTTCTGGGCTCCCCAGTTTATAAATGATAAGGAACTATTGGAAGGGCAGGGCCACAAAGATTATTAGAGGAATGAAGCATCTGCCCTATGAGGAAAGGTTGAAGGAGCTGGGTTTGTTCAGCGTGGAGAGGAGAAGGATGAGGAGGAATCTCATCAATGCTTATAAATGTATAAAGGGTGGTGTCAGGGGGATGGGACCAGACTCTTTGCCATGGTGTCCAATGGCAGGAAAAGGGGCAATGAACACAAGCAGGAGCACAGAAGGTTCAAGCCAAACATAGCTTGACTGTGAGAGTGACAGAGCACTGGAACAGGCTGCCTGGACAGGCTGTGGAGTCTCCTCTGGAGACATTCAAAACCCATCTGGACGTGTCCCTGTGTGATCTACTTGTATGTGAACCTGCTCTGGCAGGGGGTTGGACTTCAGAGCTTGAGAGGTCCCTTCCAACCCTGAGAACTCTGTAGCCCTCTGGACCAAGGGGTGATGGTCCCAGGAAGAGGCCACATCCCTGTCTGCAAGTCAGCCTTCCTCAGCCACACCAACCCTTCTCTGCTGAGGCCCTTAGGCTGAGCTCCAGCTCTGGGGCAGCAGGAGTATTGTGGGACAGCTGCTGGGGAGCAGGAGGCTTTGCATGCCTGAAATTACCCTGATTTGCTCCTTGCCAGCAGTTTGTCATGGTTCTGATGTGTGTCCTGCTGTGGTTGGTTGCAGGAGAAGCCAGTGCCATGCTGGTGAAGGCCAGGGCCAAGGCAGAGGCCATTCAGCTCCTGGCAGCTGCTCTGGCACAGCAGGTGAGTGATGGTGCCCTAGGCTGCCACTGCTTGGGCGGTGAGACCACAGCCAGGGTGGCACCTGGCTTTCCCTAGCATCTCCAGCATCAGTGACTGAGGAGTTTTGCTGTCTGGGGTGTTGAGTTGGGCTGGGGGAGGGGCACGAATGAGCTCCTGGTGGGTGGGACCTGCTGCTGAGCCCCGTCCCTCTCTCCGCAGCACGGCAGCGCTGCCGCCTCCCTCTCGGTGGCAGAGCAGTATGTGAATGCCTTTTCCAAGCTGGGCAAAGACTCCAACAACAAAGAGGCCAACACCCTCCTGCTGCCCGCCAACACCGGCGACATCACCAATATGGTCGCTCAGGTCAGTGTGGTCACAGGGACTCTTGTCTGCTCCCTGGAGGAAGAGAGGGTGGCTGCTCACAGGGCCCAGCCTTCTCCTCCCCTCACCCGTGGCTCTCCTGTTCCCCCCAGGCCCTGGGGATCTACTCTGCACTGACCAAGCCACAAGCTGTGAAGAGCCAGGATGAGATGCCCCCAACCCACGAAGACCCCCAGCCTCCCCCTGCAGAGGAGCTGAAGGCAGAGCAGGCCAGCTCCAGCTAGCAGGACCTGGAAGGGAGGACCCCACATCCCCTTCCCTGGGGGCTGCTGGCAGTGCAGTCAGGCTGCCAGCGTCCGTCAGACGCTCCCTCCTGCCCTTGGTCCTTGTTTTTTTGTATTTGGATTTCAATCATGTAATAAATGGTAGCAGTGCTGCTGTGGCACAACCTGCTCTCTGCCCCCCAGAGTTGTCCCTTCTGAGCTGGCTCCTGCCCAGAGCTCCTATGGACACACAGTGATCTGCAAGAGGAGATGTAGCATCCCTCTCCCTGGGGTGATCCCTCTTCTGGGGGGTGATCCCTCTTCTGGGGGGTGATCCCTCTTCTGGGGGGTGATCCCTCTTCTGGGGGGTGATCCCTCTCCCTGGGGGGAGATCCTTCTCCCTGGGGTGATCCCTCTCCTGCGGGGAGATCCCTCTCCTGCGGGGAGATCCTTCTCCTGGGGGGAGATCCCTCTCCCAGGAGGACCCCTCTCCTGGGGAGATGTTCCTCTCCTGGTGGCGAATCTCTCTGCCAGGGGGATATCCCTCTACTGGGGGTGTATCCTTCTTGCTGGGAAAACTCCCTTGTGCCAGGATGTCCGTCTCTCAGGAAGGACCCCTCTCCTTGGGGATACTCTTCTCCCCGGGAGGACTCCTTTAT